TTCAGCAAGAACAATGCTGGCTGGTTTATGGGATAGTTAAATCCATTTTAGGAAGCAAGCTCTCCTACAGTTTGACAGCTTTGTATATTTTTAAATATTTGGGCTATATCTGCTCAGCATGTGCTAACCGAGATACAAGAATGTGATTTGCTCACTTCCAGACTTAGGACTTTGTCTTGTCTGCCTGAGGCTGCTTCATTATGGTAAAAAAAAGACTGGGGAAGGAGAGAAGGTGTCCATTTTTTAATTTTACCAGTAGGAATTCCAAAACAAATTGGTCTTTGAAGGATAGGATATCAAGCTGTATATTATTAACTGTTCTTAAAATGATGATAAAATTGTTCAAGTTTCCAGGCTTACGGAAAAGCATCTTATGTGTTTTTCTATTTTGTTTCGTTTCTGGCCATTTGAAAAGAAAAATTAAAAAAAACATTAAATTAATTAAACTAATCTTATATTTTGTGTATATATGAATGTTGAGAAACTTCTGGTTTTGCTCCCGGATGAAAACAGCAAAATACATGCTGAAATGATCCACTTATGTATCTTTTTAGACCATGAGTTACAGGAAAAAGGCTGCAGGGGATAGATCTGCTTATTTGGTTCACTCTTGAGATAATTTAATCAAATGGAGTGATTATTTTGCATGATATGCCACAAACTTTTTGCTGCCTCTTTAGAGGTATAGATAGAGATGAGGGTCTTGCATTCCTAAAGGTCATGGTGGGGTCTGAGCATTGCCTCAAACAGCTGCCTTCTTGCGAAGGCACATCTGGGCTTTTGAGTCCCTTGGAGTATAACATTTATGACTGAGAATTGTGAAAGCTGTCCCCTTCCCAAATTCCTGGAAAAATGCTCTTAAATTCTCATTAAGTGACAATATCTTATTTATCTTTGCTACAACTCTGTTGTACAACTTTTATGTTTCATGAAAGAGCATAAAGTTGTCGCATTTGCCCATACTAATAGCTCAAAGGATGCCAAAACGTAGTATCTGGGATGAGCTTTAGTCCATCTCTGTGCAGTCTGGGAAATCTTACTGCCTAATACACTTTAAAGTTCTGGCGTGTGGAATACTCAAATTTTGAAAGTGTACTTCTTATTTTTAAATCACAGTTAGCCTGTAGGCTAACTATTTGCAGGCTGTAGTAGAATGTGATGTGTACAAGTATAACTAGTCATTGTGTGTACAGATTAATTTGGTTAGTATAATTCTCCTTCAGAGCTAATATTTTCCTGACCTTAGCATTAGTGTTCCTTTAAGGAAAGAAATATAAAAAAAACTATTATGGATGAGTATATGGGCTGTGTTTCCAAGGAAATGGGGGTGGCTAAAGGTAGTATGCATCATTAGTCTTATGAAACAAGTGGCCTCTCTGTCTTTTTCGTATGGCTCTGTTTAATGTTCACTCTTGCTGCTGCAGTATGCTGCTGAAGGGTAGGATGTTTCCGTGGTTGCAAAAACATTGCTGTCTTCCCTGAGTGAAATTTGTTGGCCTGTGTTTGTGTCCATACTTGTCCCAGCTCATTAGGGCACTGTGACTTTCAAAGAAATGTTGAATTAGGATATTGTCACCGCCTTGGTGGGTTTTTTAATGCCAGCACTGAGGTGTTGAGCATCCGTTTTAAACGTCACAGATTTGCAGGAACATGATGCTACCACTTACGTGACCAGAAAGAGAAATGAGTCAAACTATGGATGCCCGTTCATGGATAAGAGCGATTGGATCCAACACTTGTTGGATTCTATTTGAGGCTAGTAGTGGTAGGGAAAACTGAATTAAGGCCCTTTAGGGGAATTAGGTTTTCATAGGTTAAGATGAGAATTTGTCTAAAACTCATTAGTGTTTAGTGATAGGTGGCTTGTTAGTATGCACTAAAGAAAGGAAATTTAATCCAAATATATATCTCAAGATCTAGGTTCTGAAGAAACAAATGCAGGTGTTCATATTACATAGCTAAATTTATAAGCGTTATAAAAGTAATTGTTGTAGCCTCATTTTTATAACTACCATATGTAACAACTGGAGTTACAGCTATACACTAGTTTTAAAATGTAAATTGTATAGATCAAGTGCAGAGGCTGAGAAGACTGCTTTATTTCACTGTAAGGATGGTTGTTATTGTGATTTTTATTCTGCTTGAAACATTGAGTGTTTCTTAGGAGCGTGTGTCTGTGCTGTTGAGTGATGTACCTATTGCAGCTCACAGCTTTTTTTTGTATCACTGCTGTTTGTAGCAGTCAAGGTTAACTGGTTTTGAACAGAACTTGTGCTGCCCTGTTTACTGTAATGAAAGCTATTAGATGGGTAACATAGCTAAATGAAAGTATTACTTCCATATTAAACCAAACAACACAACAACAACAACAACAAAACAAAACAAACCCAAAAAACCCAACCAAACAAAAACAAAACCAAACCGAACCAAGACAAACCAACACCTAAGCAGACGTGAATACTTCAATGTTTGTGGAGTGTTTCTGCAAACATTGTATCAATCTGTGCAAGTATGCTTGTGAAGGAGTGAAATGAGATGGTGGTGCTAATTTCTGCAGAGTGAAATAGTTGCAGGATTGAGTGCTTTTGATGTCCATAGATGAAATTTGTAGGGTATAAAAATTAAGCATCTTCCTAAGAACTGTAGAAGTACATGTGTGATTGACATTCATAGGTGCTCATAAGATACTGATCCCTTAGGTAATTGAAAACCTGTTTTCAACTTCCGTGTGGAAGGCTTTTAAACTTTTGAAAATTGAAGGTTAGTCTGCAAATGAAATTTGTCTCTGCCCAAAGTACTCTGTGAACCTCTTGGAAAAAGTTAATGATCAAAGTGAATATAGGATGGTTTAGATATTAGCATGACTGAATGGTATTGAGAAAAGACATTACCTGTAAATAAAGGAAAAGGAATTACTGCCTGGAGGACAGTAGGATCTTGTGATCCTGCATGTTTTTACTATTTCCTTTTAATTGAAAGGAAATACGGAATGAAGTGACTTAAAATTATTACTCAAGTTTGACAAAGAGGTCACTGATTATTCCTAAATAATGGTTAGAAACAATTATTCTGCATATCCACTTCGGGTATATCCTGAGATTTTTTTTTTCTTCTAATGCAAACTACATATGGTTCCAGTTTCTGTTAGTCGACCAATCTGATAGTATGGCCAATGCATTGGTGATACAGTGGTAAGCTGACAGCACCGAATGACACAAGGAAGACTTTTTTCTCTTGATGTGCAGCTTATTCTGGTAACAGCTGCTCATAGTCTTGACCGTACCTGATAGCTGGTTGCTGGTAGATAATACAACAGTATTGTTCAGGAATACTTTTCATGTTTTGTCTCTGGCCCAAATATTGCTTTCCGTCTCTAGTGTGAGTTGTTTTTATTTTTCTTGATGCTAGATTATAGGAAACTTGCTTGATCGGGAGGTCATGCTTTTAATCAAAGAAAATACGAGTAATTAGCTCTTTCTTGTACAGTTATAAGTAATATATTATTGCCTATATGGAGGGTTAATCCAATCTGTTACCAGTGGTCTGGATATTATACACATACAAGTAACTAAAGATTATTATGTTCAACCAGAGAGATGCTTTAAATGATCCCATTTTGTCTACTCTTGATCACCTGAGTAGTTGAGGACATTGTCCCCTTCTGCCTCAAGTCAGGCAATGACTGAATTTATTAGAGTAGAAGAGGAGGAAACAGGAAGAGGAGATAATCTACAGACTCACGATTCTTAATTCTGAGAGCAATCAGATTGTAAGGAAAAAAATATGATAAAAAGACTGTAATAGAATGCCTTCTAAATACAGTATTTAAGGGTAACTGCAAACAAAATGGCATCTCAGACTACTGATTTTTATTTGTTCACTGGCTGTACCCAACTATTTTTCAGGTTGCTACTTCTCTGGGTAAGAAGTAAAGCAAAGCTTTCTGATGCACCTTTTCTTTTTCATTAGGATCGGAAGCTGTCCAAGTCAGAGAGACAAAGATTTAAAGAGGAAGCTGGGATGCTGAAAGGGCTTCAGCATCCCAATATTGTCAGATTCTATGATTCCTGGGAGTCTACAGTCAAAGGAAAAAAGTGCATTGTTCTTGTGACAGAACTCATGACATCTGGAACATTGAAAACGTAAGTAAATTAAGGCATGTCAAAACGTATGGGAAACATTAGCACAAAATCAGAGCACTAAAAATGGATCATATTACAGGACAGATAAGAACAGAGCCCTTTTGCTGAGGGTTAAACTTCTGTAAGGACACTCTCATTTAGGGTAAGTCTTACCAGCATTGCAGAGTACAGTGGAACATCCTTTTAGTTAGCAAGCTTGTCAGATTCTTCCTTGTGTTGTCCTGGTAAGCACATGCAGAAAACTTTCAGGTTTTGAGAGCTCAGGAGGACAGTGCTCTATTTTCACTTCTCAGAATTTTTTGTTCTTCTTCCCAGCTGCCTTTCACTTAGCATGAGCTGGTTTGTACTGTTCAAAGCATGAATGAATTCACCTCCTTGGGAAGGCTTTGGGTGTACAGTACAAATAATATGCAAAAAGAAGAAAAAAACCCAAAACCCCACCACCTATTTGTTTAACTGAAACTTCATGAAGTAGTACCTAACAAAAATCTCAAAGTATGCAAATGCCTGCAGTTTCAACCTGAGAAGTGGTTGAGTGAAATTAGGTCTATTTTTAAGCCAGAGTTAAAGTAGATACTAGCAAATCGAGCTGCTGCGAGGGCCCTCTGGTGGTGTGTGAAGCCTATGAGGAAGGAGTTACATTGAAATCACGCCTTTGCCTTGCACCGTAGAAACTTGCAGAGCCGTGAGCTTGTTCATGAGCATCCAGTCACCATTGATCTACTAGGAATAAAACTGCCATCATTTGAAATACAGGGATTGTGGGTTGTTGTCTTAATTCAGTGCCTATTTAAGTCGTAGAGAGGCATTCAAGTCCTAAATATGTAAGCAGACTGCTGTAGGAGCTGGAAACAATTTGCAGTCTATTTCATTAAAATAGCCTGTGAAAGTCTTGTCTTTTTTACGATGCTTATTGATAGCCACAAATGGGCATACTTTAAGAAGGAAAAAATGGCTTTTTGGGAGTCTGGACTGCAATTACAGGGATGTTTGTCTCTTGAAATAGTACTGGAGGGCTAAAGATATTGCAACTTTCTTTTGAGCTGTATGTTCAGGGAAGACTTTTCTGAGGTTGTTTTAAGGTATTTCAGATAAAATAATAGATGTGTTGCCTCCTGCCGCTTTCAGAGCGGTGATAAAGGTTTTACAGCCTCTGTACAGATGCCTTTAAACTTACCTGATTTTATACTAGAATATGCAGTGTTAGATTTAACTTTTTCTCCCTTTCTTAAATATTTTCTCCCCCTGGCAGATTTTAATATTTGTATAGACCTGTTAAGTGGTGGCATAAGCAGAGTGATAAAATATTAATAGACAATTACAGAGTGTTGGTCAGAAGAAATACCTGATTTGCTGGCTATAGAGTTATTTTGTACTCTGAAATATGAAGGTTTTTTATTTTATCTGGAAAGAACTAACAGACTCTTTAATTGAAGATCTCTTAAACTGTAGACTTTCCCCCCCCAGCTATTTTATAGTTTGTGTTATAGTTGTGACTTAGTTTATTCTTGTCCACTTCACTTGAGACTTAACAGGTAAACCATATGGGAAATTTCTGATGTGCCAAATTTAATATCCTTAAGTATTTCTTGTACCTGGCTCATAATCCTAGATTTTACTTCGCGGGTATGTTTGTTTATGATATTGGGCTGAGTATTACTTCCATATCTTTTTTCAGTGTTTACATTACCTGCATTTAATACATAATACATAATAATACTTTTAATACAATATTTCCTTGTTTTGAGATTTGGGGCATACATTGTTGTCACTTCGTGTAAAGAAGTGAACAGAAGAAAAGTGTGGTGATGTCTTTAAGTAATTTTTCTCTTTTTTGTATTTTTATACATTTAAATACATATATGTGTATGTTAACGTTAAAATATTTTGGACCCATTCTCTTCAAATGCTATCTGGACAAACTTCTAATTTTGCACAGGGAAAAGTCCCTGAACTTCTGCATACCAATGGAAAAGTTTTAGAACTCAATTGTTGTAGAGAATTAAACCGCTTTCTGATGGTGTATGCTATCATGGAATTAAAATATTGAAAAAAAATATTGTCATTGTTTATTTTAAGTCTTGCTTATACTATTAAGAGAGCAATTTTTAATCTGACACAGGTCTCAGCCACTAGTTTTATCTAAGGCTGTTATGGTGTGTGTTTCTGGTCCACTTTAAATGACTGTCAGCAGTCTGGTAGGACACAGACCTTCATAACTACCACTGCTGTCTTAGTAGGGTTTCCTGTAGCCCCTCTAGATGAGATGCTGTAGGTCAGCAGCCTTTCTGCTTAAAAAACTCCACCAACTCAAACAAACAAATGAAAAACCCCAAAACCCCCAAAACAAACTAAACCAAAACCAAACTAATCCCCAGACAAAAAACCCTTGAGCCAGAAAGCCAAACTCAAGTACCTGCTTCGCTCTGTTCATTGAAGCTAACTATTCAGAAAGCCTCGTGTTCTCATCTTTGCTTGTATTCTGTGCAAAGATCAAATATCTGTCTTTTTAGAAATTGCCTTCTACCCTGTCAAATAGCTAAGAATGACATTAAGCAGGAGCAAGCTCAGTGGAGGGCCACCGAGATGGTCAGGTGCCTGCTCTGTGAGGAAGGACTGAGGGGACTTGGTCATCCTGAAGAAGAGTATCCTGTGGGGAACACCTAACAGCAGCCTTCCAGGGCATATGAGGAAGTTGGTCAAGCTCTCCTCAGTGGTTCGTGGTGGGGGATTAGAGAAAACAGGCATAAATTGAAACAAGAGACATTCAGACTGAGATAAGAAGCTATTTCAGTGGTGTGATAGGCAGACAGTGGAACAAATTGCCCCAAGATGTTTTGCAGGCTCCATCCTTGGAGATACTAGAAACCTGGCTGGTTACAGCCCAGAGTAACCATGTGTGACTTCATGACTGACTCTACCTTGGGTAGAAACTTAGATAAGAAATCTCCAAAGGTATCTTCTAGCCTGAGTTATCCTATGATACCAGGAAAACTGAAAACATACTGGCTATTAGGGTTGTCAGTGTATTTTTATGTATTTGTATACACTTCCATTTTAAAATGGTTTCTGCCCTAAGTGACGTGTAGCTTAGTTCATGACAGTGTTATGGAAAAATGACAGCCACACTGCAGGGTGCTGGGTGCTGGTTGGACCCAGGTCCTTTAACAGTGAGAAGCTGGCAGCAGACTGGTATATTTGAAACCAAGAATGTAATTAGGGATTCCAGATGCTGAACTGAAGTGCCCCCACCATGTGATCTTTGGAACTGGCTCAAGAGAGATGAATGAGGGTTGTGTCAATAGCAAGAATTCAAGTGGTAGCTGATGTGATCCAGAACCTCCTTCAGTTTGTCTCCTTCCTTGGCTTGGCCTTTTCCCTGCCTGCTTTTGCATTCTGTTTTGAGACTTGAATTTCCTTCTGGAACTGAGTCCTGATTGCATTTACAGATCTGTTTTCACAGCAGGATTCTTGCTAGCCACTTGATTTTTTCAGATATTCTTTAGAAATGGAGAAATTAATAAAGTAGAAGGGATTAATATGTTGGCACTGATTCAAGTGCTTTCATCAAGAATTCTTCTCCTGAATAATTGAATATGCAGAAGAAACTGAATGTTACTGTGGAATAATTGAACATAACTTGGTTTATTTTAGGATTGTAGTTGCTGAACTCCATGCTGGTCACGGAATTTACTACCAGTCTTGGAGTAGTGGGAAATTAGTCTTTATCTGAGGCTTGGAGTAATAGTGGCTAAATAAGAATGTAGTGCTCGCTCTACACAACATGGTATTTCCTTTCTCTAAATGCATTTCAGCCCGTACTTTTTCAAAAGGAGGAAAACAACAACTCTTGACTTCAAATTCTTTCACCCAAAGAGAGGCTGTGAAAATACACTGCTGGAAAGCACTTGAATACTGTCCTATGTTAATCACCTTGTGATATCTCTGATCTGTTGGAGCTAAGGAGTAGAATAAGATCATAGTCTTCAATCACAAGCATTGGAATAAGTTTTTGTATGAAATTTGACTCCTCTGACATGAGATTTGAAAATAATGGCCATGTTAGAACAATCAAAGTTTGGTCACATGCTACATGCAAAGAGATACTGACTTTTCATATGAACTCTTCCATGTCAGTTATTTGACAGAGCCTTTTAAAAGATTTCCCTGCGTCGTCCATATCTGTCCACAGTTTTGAAGTAGAGAGCACTACCAGTGAGATTCAGGTGATCAAACCCTGCCATGCACTAGGGAAGAGATCTTTACAAATTTCTAATTTGCTTGTCAACTCAACAAGTAAATTTGAAGTAGATTTAAAGTGTAACCTGGAAACCTTGACCAGAGTGCTTGGACTAATATTGATAACTAAGGTGTAATGACTTCAGAGCTCTTGTAATAGCTCTGTACTTAGCTGGTTGTTAGCATTTTGGCTCTAGTGCCCCACCTTCCCCCTAGGTTATATTCAGTCAAGGAAAAGGTTCTAACTATTTGAGGAATTTTAGGATAAAAGGTAACTAAAAAACCCTCTTAAATGAATAGATACGGAATTGTAATACATAAGCCTTTGACTCTTTGTCAAGAAAACAGTGCCTTGAAAGCCATATGTCTACTTACCATAGGTTGACTATATGCAAATGAATTCTTAGCTATAGATCAATCATTTCGCATATATCTTTCAGCACTTTAGTCCCCTGACTAGACAAAAAGGGATCAGTTTTAGGAGGAGGAATCATCTTTAGCTCCTCTGAAATCTTGAAATGGCCAGGTAGATCTTAAAGTAGAATATGCAGTTGAAATTTGTGTCTTTTTACTGCTTTTTTTACTTCAGAACAGCAACGTATATAGTATAATCTACTACTTGTTAGCAGAACCTGTTTAACCTACTGTTACTTTTTTCATTAGGTATTTGAAAAGATTTAAAGTGATGAAAATTAAAGTGTTACGAAGCTGGTGCCGTCAGATATTGAAAGGCTTACAGTTTCTACACACGCGCACTCCTCCCATTATTCATAGAGACTTGAAATGTGACAACATCTTCATTACTGGCCCCACTGGATCAGTCAAGATTGGAGACCTCGGTCTGGCAACACTGAAACGAGCTTCTTTTGCCAAAAGTGTGATAGGTAAGCGTCTCCTGTTTTGGAGGCTGGTGAGCCAGTCTACCTATTTGGAAACTTGAGTTGTTTATTTCGAGTTTTCCTTAAAAACATGGTTTCAAAGGTACATGGTCAAATCCTGAAAACATGTAGGCTTTGTTTCTTGGCTGTTCAGGACATTCTGTGTTCCTGATGAGATTACATGTTGCAATTTTGGTTGTACTTTTGATATTTGTATATTAGCATAAGATGTTTAAGAATACAGATTCATTGCCCTGCCCAACAGTTTAGTGCAACATTGTTGATAAAACCACTCTTGACTACATATAAATCTGAGTTTAATGTGATGCTCCTTCAAGAAATTTGCAAATGCATTTTGGTCACCAAACAACATTTATCATACTTAGTGTAGCATTAATTTGTACAGCCAATTTTTTTATTATCACCAAGAGGTTAATATTAAGTATCTTACACTTTGTGAGTAATTGGAGACTAAGGTATATCAAAGAAACTTAATATATCTATTATATCACAGTCAGATTGTGGTATAATGCCTTACTCAGGGAGTCTATAGGATGTGAATTTTTGTAAGTTTATAGGATGCATTGGAGAGATATTGCTTTATACTTTCTCTGTTCTTTTGTATCTGCTAATAACCTGTTTCAGAAATTGATTTGATGGAACTAGTATAGTCTTTCCTGTGAATTCTTGAAAGAATTGGTTTTATCAGCTTTGTTTTTATAGTTGGGTGAATAGACTGCAGGGAATAAAGTTGCTTTCACTCAGTTTTTAATTGCTAAAATGCATTACTACTCAACAGTCCTATACTAGATTCCTAGAAGGGATCAGTGGTGTATACCTGTAAATTGTCTTGCAAGCTGTTGCTGAAATATTTCCTGCTTCTTAACCAGGACAAAGTACTAATGGGAAAGAAAAGTATACAGTGTCAAAAAAAGAAATTCTTAAGCATACTCATCCTCAAATGTGTCATTGCAGAATTACCACTTCATATCTAGCCATCTGTTAATGGTTAGCCTTTGGATAAATGACTGCAATTGCATTCCCTTATTTTGGTTTAATGTAGTGAAAACAAGCAATGTGGCTATAAAATGATCTGCAAACTCTAGAATCTGGTGTCTGCAGGAAATAATTCCGTGCTTAAATTTACAAAAAGCAAACTTGCATCTATGGCTTCATCTGATCATACAATGCAGTCCCTTTGCCTACAGAGGGGGTGCTGTGATGCTTCACTGCGCAATAATTTTCTGCACACTATTTAAATGGGACTTGTTGAATCTCACGCTCTATGCCTGTAACTCAATCTCTCTGTATTTCTGAGTATTTTTGACTGTAGGATGTCCCTCACTAATGCCTGTATCTGCAGTAGGCCTATAAAAATACTGCAGGTGAGAAGGTAAGTATATGAAGAAAAGGGCTCTGGTGAGTGGCCTTTGCAGAAAATTACTTCTTCTCCTTTTCCATGAAGACTTACACTTGTAAACAGAGTTTTTCATTGCAAGGCCTTTCTCAAACCATTCTACTTCAAAAAGTATATGGGGAGCACCAGGTCAGAGACTAGCTGTGGGCTCTTACCAGTACTACTTCTTTTGCAGCAGAGGGCAGTCAGGTAATCTTTGAAACAAGGTTTAATGTGCCTCCTTTCTTACAGGGAGAAAAGGTAAGTGTCCTAACTCTCTGTAGTATTTGGTCTGCAGCCTATGGCTAGTCACAATTTTCCCCTCTTACTCCTTCCCCTACATTTGACTCCAGCCTGATCCAGTCTGTTTTGATACTTATGTTAACTAACACACAGAAAACAGGAATTGCATTGGTCCTTTCATGCCATTCTTATTCCATAAAGGCCTTGCAATGGAAGACTCGCCAAGTACATTGATGTGACAGAATTACTAAGGGTTTCCTTCCTCTTGTTTTTGCCTCCACTTTCTCTTGTCTCACAGGTCTGCCCATCCGCTCCCTCCTGCGGTGAGTAACGCCAGCAGCCTCTGCTCGCTTTGAGACATTTAGAGTCTGAATCGTTCTTTTAATTTAAGGTACCCCAGAGTTCATGGCCCCCGAGATGTATGAGGAGAAGTACGATGAATCCGTTGATGTATATGCTTTTGGGATGTGTATGCTAGAGATGGCCACGTCCGAGTATCCTTATTCCGAGTGCCAAAATGCTGCGCAGATCTACCGTCGAGTGACCAGTGTAAGTCCCTCCCCACTAGTGGTTCTAAAGCTACTACTGTAACTAGCAGCAAAGGAGCACAACTGGGTTGTATGGTACTCTGCAAGCGTGTGTGGAGAAAGAGAGGCTTATAAAAGGTTTTTGGGGCATGGGTAGGAAAACCATCAGGAAGAAACCTGTAAAATACGTGAATGGAAATAAAATTTTGCATGTGTTCATACTCTTCCTTCATTATGTAAGAAGGTATTGCATAGGGTTTAAAACAAACAAAAACCCCCCAACCAACCAAACAACAAAACACATTAGAATCATTGATTATTTTCTAAGCCACTGGGGGGATGGTGGCAGTATTTCAGTCTTGAAGGTTAGCCAGTAACTTTGTTCTCTGAAATAAAGCTGGATCACAGATTCAGAGCATTTGGGCTTAGCTACCTGCCAAGACCAATCATGAATTGTTACCTAGAGTGATGGTAAGTTAATAGTTTACTGAATTTCAAATGGCCCTTAACTGCTGTGTGTCAGGTGCAGTACTTATAATTATGCAGTGGAAGCACTTGATAAATAGCAGGAAGGTATTCCACCCTGAAAAGTGCTGGTAAATGTAGTAGTAGTGGTGATGGTGGGGGCACTGCGAGTGAGACCAAATAAGACTGACAAGACAAGCGATTTGAGAGAGGTTTGAGATTTGAGATGAGATTTGAGTTTGCCCATCTGTCTGAATGTAGAAAGCAGAACTGTGGTGCTAGAAATGTTCAGAATGATTGTGGCTAGATTTACTTTGTGACATCTAAAACAGTGTTGTGAAGAATATGAGTGCAGTAAAACAAACTACACGTGTTCAACCTTCTGATCTAGGCATTCAGAAAGAATAGTGAGGTGGCCCCTTGGGGAAGTAAAAACTTGCATTGGATTTCTCAGAATACTTGTGTGGATGTGCAAAGGGAGGAAAAAATCCTTGCCTCTTTCTCCGATCTGTAGACAAATGAATTCTTACTAGGTTTTTTTTGTGTATTATCTTGAAGGAGTTGAGGGTTTAATAAACAACTTGCTTAGCTTTGGGAAAGTAGAATGCTTTCTTATTCCTGATGCCTCACACTATAAAAGGCAGATGCAATTACTGACTTACAGATGTGGAAGGAGGGGTCTTCATGTCAGAAGTAATGACTTCTGAAGGAATGCTTGGTGAAATAAGACTACCCCTTGTTTGAAGGGGAATATGGGAGAGGCACAGGGAGAAGAAGAAAGAAGGGATAAATGGCCATTTTGTTTTTTCAACAGATGTTAAATTTTTATACGTGTACACACATATACAGAGAGGTGGGTTTTTTTGCATGCATGCTGGTGGACTTATCTGTAATTTACTAAATAGAGGAAAAGCAAGGGTAAAGTCCAGCCTGTGCTCTGCTTACAACATAATCTGATCTGCAAGGTATTTGGATCAGTGAAAGAAAACAAAGTATCTTGCCGAAAGAGTCTTAGTGGTACCTTTTGCTGTGCTTACTCATGTGTCTTGGCCAGAGCCAAAGCAGCCTGGTTTGGATGGGCACTTTTTCGCAGGACAGATACCTGATGTAACTGCCCTGCCTATTCCTTACAGTGCTAGGAGCTGGGATGTGGTGAGAATCAGCTTTTGAGACAATCTCAAAAGTTGAAAGTCCCCAGGTCTTAAAGAGCTGTCTTTTCCCTGGTCTGGGAAGTATTTAGGAATTGGAAAGCCTTTCAGGTGCTTGTAGCACACAAACTTGTCTAGAGACTTACCAGGGTTCAACTTACCACTTCTTTATTGTACTTGACACTTCTTTCTCCCCATTGATTTTGGCTGACTGGGGATGAGAAACACTGGTAATTTTTTGGTCTGACCAACATCTACTCTACTGCTGATGGTTCACATCAGTTTGAATGTAGTTGTTGATTTTTTTCCTGCTGTTTCATCTACTGCTTAAGACCATTAAAATGTACTTTGATACAAAATCAAGGAAATCTTGTTTTCTTTCAGAAGGAGCAAGGGACAGGATGGTAAATAAAATTAAATGTACATCTATCTGCTTCTAGGCAGAGAATGAAAGACTGTGTGCTAAGTATATTTGTTTATTTCATTGTAGTTGTAAAGCAGCTTCACAGAATCACAGAATATTGGTTCTTTAAAAACAAAACAAAGCCAACCACAAACAAAACTTTAACTCTCAAGGAAGCCTTTCAATGAAGAAAAGACAGTGTTATCTGGAAATAAAGCACAAACCTGTCTTAACTGATAATGGAGAATTCAGTGTTTCTTCTACAATGTGGAAAGCAGAAGCATGTTATGAAAGTGAAATAAAATACTCTGTATTCTTCTTAACCACAGTGAAAACTCTGTGAATCAATGTGAAAAGAGCCATATAGTTTTCTGCCCTTGTCCTTTGCTCCCTGTTAAAGAAAATAAGATTTTATTTCATTTCTAAGGAGACTTTAGAAGTGGGTGAGGGGTGAACCAGTTGAGAAATTCAGTGTTTTAGAAGGACAGAATGTGAATCATTGATAAGAGTGGAGTCTGAAAACTTCCTGTATAGGTGACTCCAACAGTACTTACCAACATGTTTCTTTTTTAAGTACGTTGGAAGGTGGATGTGGTTTGAAGGAAGATGTTTAGCATTTCTATTTCAGCTCCATAGTTTGCTACTTTCCTAGGCATGTGTAGGAATATTTTGAGGTAGCAGCTGTAGTCTTGCTGAGCCTTAAATGAAAGGATTATTTTACCTAGATGCATACATAGAGACCAGAGGGAAAGACAATAATAGTCGTCTGCTATTGACAGTCATGAAAGATCATGCCATGTGGGAGCTAAAAAACCACTAAACCCCCAGAGGCAATAGGATCAAAATGTGCAGCCACTAGGTGCAGGTGATAGGTATTTATATGAATTGATTTCCCTCACCCCCTTTTGCACTAATTATTAGGCTTAGTAAAAAGCAGAATTGCTCCGTTAGCTTAATTGCTATTGCTTAGGACAGAAGCCTTTAAAAGATGTCTTAATGCCCAGGGTGTCCTCTCAGGACCTGACTTGGTACTACCAGCTTACATTCTTGTCTTTTATTTTGCCTCTGGGTTGAACTCTTTCCTAGGATGGCCCTCAGCTGCATTGCATTCTGTCCTTACACCTTTTACAATAAGGATTGCTTGAGCTGATGCCCAGATACTGCAGCACTGGGTTAGGTAATTTGCCAGGATTGCTCAGAGTACTTGGTTATGTGTTCTACCCCCTCTGTTCAGGGTCTTCCTTCATGGTTGGAGGCAGTTTTCTGATTAAATAATACAGCTAGGTAAGCTAAGAGCTAAATATCAGTTCTAAAGGCTGAAGTTCCTCTTAGAGATGAGGCATTTTTTGGCCCAGGCAGTTATTGTTGCTTCATGTCCTGGGTAACAGCACTGCTGCATGAGTCTGCTGTTCAAAAGATGCTTGTCTGCATTGTCTCACTGGGAAGCTGCTGATTTTTCTTAAAGCAGTGTTGGGGTAAAGTTCCTGATTTTTTCCTGGCCCAAGAAACTGAATTGCAATTAAAATATTTCTTTGGCTCACTTCAGCTAGAAGAATTCTGTCAGTAGAAGAATCTGGCTGTTTTTTTAAGCCTGGCTTAAAAAAACAACTGTCTACAATTTGTAGGGCTCAAGGTGTTGTGCTGAACTCTATTTTACAGTACTGTGAAGGAAGCCGGCAGGAGTTTGACACAGAGTATTGACCTCCGTTTGTATTTGCAGGCTCTAGCATGCTCAGTCCAGACCCTTTCACTAGCAGTGCCTTTAGAATAGAAAATGAGGTCTGCGTGTCTTGTCAGTTGAGCATAAAGGAGCCATATAGTATTGCAATCATAGTATTGCAATTTTGTCTCAAAAAAACCCAATTTTCTTCATTTATGCTATCTGTTTGGAAATGGTTCTGAATAAATTAGTAGTTAAAGAAATTGCAGCTTCTGGGATTTTTACCTTACTGAGTGGAGGAGAAGAGGGAGGGAAAATCTGAGGTTTACGCAGAATATCTCTTCAGCTGGGATTGAATGCATCCAGGAGGGCACTTTACTGCCTACTTGGCCTCAGAAAAAAAATGCCTAAGCCTGCAATTAATTGAAAATAAGCTGCACTATTAAGGTAGTCTTGCCTGCTCCTGTGACTTAAGTGTTTTTTTTCTCTTCTAGCCTCCTGTGCAGACACAACGGTCTGTGTGATACACTACTGGATTAGGGAATGGGTCACTCTCTTTTATTTTTAATTCTGCACCATCAAAGCAATACAGGCAGTACCAAAGAAAATGTAATCAAGATACTTGATTCTGTTACATACACAAAAAAAGGAGCATAATATCTTGGCAAAGTTCAGGAAGGGGTTTCCCTGTCTGACTTAGTTCCTCTCTGGAAACTGGTATTCTTTCTTTGACCTGTTCCATGCATATTTCAATTAAGTAATTTGTCACAGGAGATATTTGAAGTATGGGCTTCATGTGCGTTTAAATGAAAACAGATATTTATGGAACAGCCAATCTTGTGTATGATTTCTTAATTTAGTCTGTTTTGGGAAGCAATGCAGTGAAGATGTAACTGCAGTAGCTTCAGCTGCTTTCTCTCAACCTCTGCTGAGACTGATGTAACCCATGCAGTTGCTTCAAAAGCTACATTGGAGTTTTGTTGCTCTCACTGCACTCACCACTCAGATGTAGTGTAGACCTCAATTGCTTTTACACCGTATTTCCTTCAAGCTTTCTTTTAGCAGCACAGAGATTAGTTTTGTAAGTGTGTAGAGGTCCTGATTACTCAATTGCTAATACTTGCATGTCCCGAGTCTTAAATTTTCTAGGTGGTTGACTAGTTGCAGAACTAGTAAAAAGACAGTTAATGGGTTTATTATGCAGATTTATCTCATTCTTGCATATCTACCACTAACATAAGAATTCAAACTTGTTGAGCACAAAAAGGTTAATAAGACCATCCTCAGTTTCAAATGTACCAATCTGTTACCTTGAGTATGAGCAGAAAATTCCCTTTTCTCTTTTG